TATAGAGCCAAAGATGTTAGAATTGTGTCGATGTCCCAATATTTCTGGACCTGACTGTATATTCTTGAACTGAATGTTTAGCTTAGCACAATCTAGGAACACTGTCTTTTTTTGATTAATGCTGTTCTTACCTTAGATGGTTTTGAATGGCTTGGGGGAGAGCATCTGAAGGAATCCTAATATAGGGCCAGGTTGGTATGAGGCCATGATTACTGTCAGGTATCTTGGTTTCAAGCTGAATAGCATTTTAAAGTGAAGCATAATTAATTGAGCTTGGATTATAAGCCAGTGGCTTTTAGTACTAGTTATGTATATGGTTTCATTGCTATATTCAGTAGTCTGGTTGTGGATATTTCTGAACCATCTGAAAAGGTAGCACCATTACAACATATTATAATCAATCTTAGAATTACATGATACAGCTACCATGTAAACTGGAATTCAACTCTATGTTCTACATATTAGGGAATTTTGAAAATGCTAGTTTGTTTTAAATTTTAGTTTTTAGTTTAAATAAAAACTTGATTTTTGGGGAACAGGTACCCTGTAGCTTCCAGTATGAAGCCATTTGTAGTTTCTTGTTTTGTAAAGTGAAACAGCCACTTCACATCGGCAGTCCCCTATATGATGAATGAGGGCAAATTGGAATGATTATTTTTTTAGTTAAACATTTTAAAGGAAAAAATGGATGAACAAAGAAAAAAGAGACCCCCCCCAAAAGAGAAATAGAATAAAACACACAATGAATAAACAAGAAATTTACAAACATCATGAAATTGAATAAAATTGAATGTGTTAAGAATTTTCAGTATAGCATTAGTTTGAGTTTATATAGCTAAATTTCTTATATCATTTAGTTCATTATTAAAATAGTATATAAACATGAACAACAGTAATCAGTACAGTATAAAATGTGATGCAAAATAAGACATTACAGTAATTTCTGTCCAGACAGTAAAATATCTATGCTTATCCTTATCATTGAGTACTTAAGACTTTATAATTGACTAATTGACTATGTAAGGTTAATCAACAAGCAACCTGTGAAATATAGGGAGTTTGCTGCCCTCATTCTAAATATTGTTCTCTGCATATTCACATGGTTATATGAAAATCTTAAAGTTATGGGATTTATTAAACAGTACTTCCATTAAAAATCAGTAATTCTTCTAATACTGCTTATGTACTAATGATGATATGGTACTTTGCTTTTTTTAAAAAGTTGCAATTCTTGATACAGGAAAAATGCCAGAGTGATCATCTACAGACAATGAAAGAAAAAGAACAGCAAGGTTTATTAGCTTTAGAAGAATTAGAATTGCAGAAGAAAGCACTGCAGTTGGAATGCAACAAAAAGCTTGAAGATATGCAACAGGAAGTAGAAGCTTTCAAAACAGTAAGTAAAAGATGTGGAATGTTTTTGTTTCTCTTTTTGCTTGAAATTGAAATGTAATTGCTCAGATCTCTTGAGAAGGAAACTAAGCCCCAATAGGAATGTTAAAACTCCTTCTGTGGTTCTTTGGCTATTCCCTTGGAAGTATATTACAAGAAGCTTAGAGAAATAATTTGAGGTAGATAATAGAAATGGTTAGGGAATATCATCAGATGTTTGGCTCTACTTGCTTGGTTGTGGATGTTCAGTTGTGTATCTATTTATATAGCTTATTTTATATAACACTGATGTTTTCTATCGTTTTGTTTTGTTTTGTTTTTACTTTGTGTATTAAAAGTACACAATCAATGTGATTTGATTGGTTAGGTTAACAAATATAGTATATAAATATGCCATTTGATGATCTGTGAACAGCACCTAACACGGTGGCACAAAATAAATGAATACAGAACAAGGATAGCAATCTCACCTCAAATTCCTGTTATAAATATGGTGACCATATTTCTTGTAAAAAATAAAGGACAAACCTGAAAAAGGGGCAAATCTGAAAGAGGTTCATAAGGATACAAAGCCCTTACTTTGCAGGGAACTGAAGAAACGCCCAGTTGCCATTACCATCCATGTTAATGATGGTGCACAAATGTGGATGATTTCATTTCACATGTGGAACATTCTGAGGAGATAATTTTCTTTTGGCTTTCTTTTCTTTGTCATATTTCTGAGTTTGTTCTTGCAGTCATTACCATGGTAGAATTTGAGCATTTTACTCATTAATCTACTGTACAAAATAATTAGTTCATATTAACCTTATCCAGAGTGTGATAATTCTAGGTGCTTTTCCTATGTATTTGGGTCATAATAAATGAATATTTATTAATTTTATATAATTCAAACCTAGATAGAATTAACATTTTTTCTTATGGGTATAACTATATTGAAGCTAAATAATTTTAGCTTTTAGTTCCATTCATCAGAATAAGAAGCAGCATAGCTTATATTTAATTTTCTCATTTAAAACATTAGCATCTAGTTATGTATAACATTTAAGTAGACCGTATCTTCCTGTATTTTACATATTAATTTAATTTTATTCATTATATTTTTAACTAATCTTCTTAACAGAGAATTCTTGAGTTGGAAAGTTCCCTTACAAAATGTGCACAAAATGATAAAAACCAGTTGGAAGAACGGGCTACTCAAACAGAATCAGAAAAAAATGAGCACAATAAAGAAATAGCTACTATGATTGAAAAACATAGAAAAGAAATTGAAGATATGAAGCAGCAGGAACAACTTTGGAAAGAACAGCTTGACATATTAACCCTGCAACAGCAATCAGAAATGGAAAAATTGAGAAAACATCATGAAGAAGAAATAGCTAAACTATTAAAGGAAAAAGAGGCTATGTTTCATGCCCATGTAGAAGAGATGAATGAAAAAACTTTAGAAAAGCTTGATGTGAAACAAACAGAGCTAGAAGCACTTTCATCTGAATTATCAGATGCTCTGAACAGCCATCAAAATCTTGAACAGTGTCTGTTCAAGTTAAAAGAGGATGCAGATAAAGCAAAGCTGGAATTTGAGGCAAAACTTGATCAGCAAAAGAATAATCATAAGGAACAAATTGAAGCTATTTTGAAAGACCAGGAAGTAGTTGAGAAAACATTGAAAGAAGAAATTAGTCAACTCAAACAACTCTTGGAAGCAAAAGAGAAATGTCAAGATGAATCAGAAGAACAACTGAAAAAAATGAAAGAATCTCTAGTAAAAGCGGAATCACAATGTAAAAAAATGTCTGCAGAATTAGATGTCTTGTGTCAGTCCAGGGAAAATAATGCAAGTATTTATGAAATCAAGTTAAAAGATTTGCAGCAGGAATTGGAAGTTATAAAAGATGAAAAATCAAAACTTGAAGAACAAATAATAACAACTGAAACCCAATTGAATGAAGTCAAAGCTGAGTTAGATTCTCAGATATCCCAGGTAAATGATCTGAAAAGTGAACTGGAAGAGGAAAAGAGAGAAAATATACGGAAAACCTCATCTCTGACAGAAAGGTATGAATCACAGTTAAGAAACCTTGGTGAAGAGCTCAGTCAGGTAAAGAGTCATTGTACTGACAAGGAAAATGAAATTGGACAAATAAAGGATCTCCTGAATCAACAGATTGAAAAGCATGGACAGCAATTATCAGCCAAAGAAGAAGAAATTAGTTCTTTAAGAGATGAATACGAAATCAAGTTAAAACAGCAAGAGACACAAACAGAGCAAGCTAAAGAAAAAGCAAAAAAAATGCATGAAGTATTTAAGCAAAAGCTTTCAGAACAAGAAGCAAAACTAAAAAAAGAGATTGAGAACAAACAGTTGGAGTTTAGTCAGAAAGAGAAACAATTCAATTCAAAAATACTGGAAATGGCTCATGCCAGTTCAGCTGGAATCAATGATGCTGTATCAAAGCTGGAGATGAATCAGAAGGAACAACTAGAAAGCATGGCTGAAGCTCACAAACGAGAAGTAGATGAAGTTGTACATCTTTGGGAAACGAAACTAAATCAACAGGCTGAAGAATTTCAGGAAAAGCATGAAACAGAATTGCAAGAAAAAGACCAGGAAATAAGAGACCTGAAAGAAAGACTGGCCACCTTCAATACTGAAAGGGAAGGGAATAATGCAGAGATTACATGGTTAAAGGATGAACATAGAAAGAAGGACAAAACTATAAATGAATTTCAAAAGCAACTGCAACAGACATTAGCCCAAGTGAATATTTTGACACAAAAAGAAATTGATTTGAAAAAGCAACTTGAAAGATTAGAGAATGATCTTAGTTTTTCTCTGAAAGAGAAAATAGCAGTACAGGAAGAGCTTAGTGAAATAAAAACAATAGAAGAAAAAAAGAAATATGAAGTTATTGAGCTGGCAGATAAATTGAAAAGGTCTGATGAGGAACTCCAGGCCTTGAAGCTGTCACATTTTAAAGAACAGGAGAATTATGAGAAAAAATTAGAGGAAAACAAAAATGAGTTTCAACAAAAACAAGCTGAATTTGAAAAATTCAAAGGGGATACAATTACACAACTGGCTGATTACCAGCAAAAAGCAGAAGCTTTATTGCAAATAAAAACTAGTGAATTGATTGAACAATGCAGTGAAAAAATTTCTTTTGTAATAGTTAAAATTGCTCACTGTCAGCAACAGACAATAAAAATTAAAGAAGGAATATTAATTAAAACTGGTCAGATTACAGACCTAAAAGCTCAGCTTAAACAAATAACAGAGAGTCATGTTACTTTAAACAGTAGTTTACAGGAGTCCAAAAAGCATTTGGAGGAAAAGGAAAAATTGATGATGTCTATGAAAGTAGACACGGAAAAGCTTCTAACCGAAAAAGAACTATTGCAAAAAGAAGGTTGTCACCAGCAGCAAGCGGCAACAGAAAAGGAATCTTGTATCACAGAGCTGAAGAAAGAATTATCTGAGTATAGTAATGTTGTCACTTCTATGAGGGAGGAGCTAAATGAGAAGAAATCAGAAATCACCGATCTTAACAAGCTTGTTAGTGAATTGAACCTCAGACTTGAGAAGAGCATATCAGAAAAAGAAGTTGCCACAGTGTTGTTAAACAAGCAGCACAAAGAAAACCATCAGCAGTTACTAAATGAGATGGAAGTGTTATCTTCCAAAGTTGAAACACTGAGTGAAGAAAAAGTTACTGCGCTGGAACAGGTAGACCACTGGATGAACAAGTTGTCAGAATGGAAGAAGAAAGCTCAATTAAGATTTACACAGAACTATAATACTATTAAAGAATTACAAAACAAGATTGAACTGAGTAATAACCAAGCTAGTGAAAAAGAAGAAGAATTGAATAGAATGAAGGAAGAGTGTGATAAACAAACCAAACAGTTAGAACATTTAAAAAGCTTAATGGAACAAAAGCAGATCAGAAAAGAAAAACAGGAATCTGATTTGGTTGCTGAGATAAAAATCCATACAGCAAGAATTGCTGAATTAGAAGAGCATATTGCTCGGAAAACAACAGAAAATGATTTGTTAATGGAAGAATGTAAAAAGTACCGTGACCAGGACAGTGAGCAAAAAGAAGTGGCACAACAACTTCAACAGGCTCAGGGGACACTAATGGACAAGGATAACAGGCTGAAGGAGATGGAACAGAAAGTGCTAACTTTTGAGAAGAAAATGCAGGTTATGGAAATTGACCTTGAAGAAAAATCAAAAGAATTTGAAGGAACAAAACTGGCTCTAATGAAAACCAAAGAGGAAGAATTAAAGGCTTTAGAAGAAAGGCTTATTTCAGAAACAACTTCTAAAATAGCAGATCTGAAAAAAAAGGCTGAACAAAAAATTGCTTCTATTAAAAAGCAGTTGACATCTCAGATGGAAGAAAAAGAGCAGCAATATAGGCAAGACATGGAAAAGCAGTTACAGCAAAAATTGCAAGAAAAAGAAGAAAAAATTACGTCTTTAGAAGAAAAGATTAAATCAATAGACTCAGAGTTAGAAAAAGAGTTGATACAGAAAGTAGAAACCATAAATGTTTCTGCAGAGCAAGATAAAGTCCATGCTTTAGAGAATATGCAACAGATGTATGAATTAAAAATTGATATTTTAAAAAAGGATTTGTTGGATAAGGAGAGGTTACTTGAGAGGTACAGTGAGGAAGCAAATACATCTAATATTTCAAAGGTGGAGGCTCAGAAGCAACAAGAGGAACTTCTTAAAATGAATCAAGAATATAAGAATAAAATAGAAAATCTTCAACAAGAACTTGAGGAACAAATTAAGAAGCAGGCTTCATTACTTGAACAGCATACCAAGTATGATAGTGAATTAGCAAATATCAAAGTAGAATTGAAAAACAAAGAAGAAAAACAACAAAATATGGAGAATGTAATTAAAGACTTGGAAAAAAAGCTGCAAGAAAAGGAGGAAGAAGAGCAGTCTTTGCAACAAAAGATATACCATTTTGATGAGGATTTTATGAAAGAAAGAGAACAGCACAGGATTGAGATGGAAAATAGAATTTCAGGATATGATGAGAAATTAAACAGACTGCAAGAGCAGGTGGATGAAAGAAGTGGCCTTATAAAAACTCTGGAAGGAAATATAGAAGAAAAGACTACATCAGTCCTTGAACTTCAGAAGACACTTGATGAGATGCAGGTTCAACAAAAGGATTTGCAAGCTACACTGAAACAGACACAGCAGGAGAAACAAGAACAGCACAGAGATTTGATTAAGCTTCAGAAAGATTTGCGAACTTTGCGGAAGGAACATCAGCAAGAGCTGGAAATAATGAAGAAAGAATCTATAGAAGAAATGGAACAAAAAATAAAGTAAGTTGTCACTATGTTCCATTAACTAACTGTTAACTTTTTAATGAAATGTATGAGGATTAAAATTGAATGAAATAAAGCTTATGATCAACATTATATTCCAAAAATGGATATATGTATTCTCTATTATTCATAAGTAACATTGCTGCCAGTAAAAAAGAAAGGGGAACAAGGTAAAGCTTGCTGCTGAAATCCATTGAAAACTTTATGGAGAACTAATCTCAGTTTGGATGAACATTTCTCAATTTAAAATAAGTCCAGATATGAAAAGGCCTATTGTACATATATGCAGTGCCTTTTACTCCTTCCTTTGGGTTACAAGTAATCACATCAGAAAAAAATCTGAGTTATCATGGTTTCCCATTTCATGAAAACTAAGAACTATATGTGTTTGCTTTAGAACAAGCCAAAATGTTATATCTTGTTTTGAACTTCACAACTCCAATAAAAATCAGAAATTATGATTATTTAAAAGCTTCCATCTCTAGTTGCTTACTATAAAGAAGCTGCATAAAGAATGGAATGTGACCATCATTTAGGCATAAGCCTAAATTTATACAAAACAAGAGAGTTCTTTACATGTATATTGTGTTCCCAACAATTATTAAGATGTATGCTATATATAAAGTTGCTGGGTTTCAATTTATAGTCAGTCAATATATTTACTGACAAGTTCTATTCTGTTTAGTGGAGCTTGTTCCTAGATAAATATGTTTAGGATTGTCACTTTTTTTGAGCTACATACATATGAACATGTGAACATAATAAGTTTTTACATTAATGGTGTGTTTTTCTAAATTTTCATTGTAGTAAAAATCTAAAGGATCATACCTCATTTTTATAAGTACTGTATGGAAAAATAGTATACTGTAACTATTTTAATCACTTTATTATCCACTGTAACCCTGTCTGTAAGAAATGAATATTTTTTAGATTTTTGTACTATGAAGTTTGAGCTAAAAATCTTAATTTCTTGTATGTTATAGATATGAACAGGAAGACATTGAATTGAAGCACAACTCCACACTAAAGCAGTTAATGAGGGAATTCAATACCCAACTAGCACAAAAGGACCAGGAATTAGAAATAGCTGTAAAAGAAACTATCAGTGAGTTACAACAATATACTTTGTACATCTTAAATGTCCACATGTCCTGTACATCCAAATATGTTTTTGTCAGAAATTTTTGGGTAGCATTTTCAACATAATGCTCTGCAGCTCTCTTGGACTGAAAATGACATCACCCACAGCCAACAAGGCTTGCAGGCTGGGGATGATGAAAGTTGTTATTCAACATTTCCAGAAAGCACTATATTGGAAAAGACTGATTTACAAAGCAAACTCCCATAGATTTGGGGAACAGTCCAGGTTTCAGTGTTTTTTTCTTTATCTATCTGAACAATATCTGGGACATAGAACAATTTGGAAGCAAGCAAAGCTTGCCAATATCTAGTCTCATCTCTAAGCTTGAATTCTCATGTAGTGTTCTTGTTCTATAGCATATATAAGTATATATAAACTTACTTGTTTTATCTAAAATCAGTGTGGAAATTATCTTCCTAGATATTGATGGTAGTTATAAGTGTGCCAAAAGAAAAATATAACATGTTGTGTGGCAGTTGAAAATGCTTATTAAATTTGTGTTTGAAAGCAAACTAGATAGTTGAATGTAACTGTAATATTTCAGCATCTTGATAGTAATTATTTGGTATTCTAGATCCAAGACATAGATACCACAACTTTATTTCAGGCATTTAATATTTACATTGTGATAGGAAGGAGTAGGTATTGAAAGCCACCTATATCTGTGTCTTCATTAGGTCTGAAAGTGAATAATCTTAATAAGTATACATAGTGATCTCTGTGTATAATTACTTTGACATTAAAAGTTAAAGCCATTTTTCTTTCCTACACACCCTCTGAAAAGTTTATCTGGATGTTGGTTGGAGGTGCTACTGATCAGTGTGAGATGGATTACAGAAGAATTTCTCTGGGAGGAAGGAATTATCTAGAGTTTTGAATGAATCATTCCTCTTCCAAAAATTGTTTGCATTTTGGTTCCAATAATATCTTGTCTGCAAACTGTCAACTATTGACCTGTTTTTCCCACTAAAAATGTACTTTTTGAAGCTTCATGTGAAAGGGCAGCTTCTGTCTGTCTTTCACTAGAATCATCAGTTGTGTTCATCTTCCACTGTAAGTGCGTGTCCAGCTGCACATGAACAAGTATTTTTCTAGAAGGTCCAGCTGATATTAAATAGGGACATGGGACAATTATGGTGTTAGCTGTTCATTAGGGAAAAGGCAAGTTTCAGAATGGTCTGACTCCTGAGCAAGAAAAGGAAAAGAGAATAAGTAGAACCCAAAGAATTTAAGCACCTAGAAGACCAGGAAAAGTCCAGAAGAGAGAAGGTGAGATGAGGATATGTTTCTGGTGCAGAGGAGAGGGAAAGCTAGTGGGACCTTTGCTAAAACTGGGAGAAAAAGCAGGAGAGAAGTATATGTGTGTGTGAGGTGAACTGCTGATGCAGAGAAACTCCAGAGCAAACAAGAACCAGAATGAACAAAGCATTGTGAAGGCAAGGCTCAAACAGTATCCTCAATAGCATCTTATCTCCCTCTGAATCAGAGTTCAAAATGGTTATAGCTATCAGGAAGCCAGAGAAGGAAGGAATGGAGAGGTAGCTGAAAAACATATAATCCCAATGGTATTGTTTCAAAATGAGAAGACTATCAATGCCTATCCTGGAGAGTGAGACATGAGAAGCTCCAAAATGAAAAAGAGAGGAGTTGATGGCTGTGAACTCCAGAACCCAGATACTTGAGAAAAAAAGGCCCCAAAGAAGCAAGGGACTCTGGGGAGGGAGGAGGAGCAAGAAAGAGATATTAAATAGTAAAGTTTAGGAGTAAAGTAATAAAGCAGTCAAGATGTAAAGAAACAGCAGGCTAGCTAAGGGAGGAAGAGCAATAAAATAGAAAAGTCCCAGGTGTTCCAGCAGATAAGGATGGTAATGAAACCATAAAAAGAGATTTAATGTTAAAAGTGAAATCGTTATAGAAATTAAAGTAGTAATAGGATACAGATTAACAATCCCTTAGAAATAGGGAAAGTAACACTTAAAATATGAATCCCCATCCTTGTTTATGTGAGCACTATGTTTATTTTGTGTGTATCCTTTCTAATAAAGCACTCTTTTTCTAACAAAGCCACATACCTTTCCTGGTTATTTTTCCTGGTTTCTTCCTGGAGTGGAAGAGGTCCTCCATAAGTAATAGAAAGAAAGTGTAAAGTATTGCCTTGTTCATGAAAGCCTGTGGTATAATTGTTTGGAGAAATGCAAGGAAGAATAGGAGACAGGAACCTTCCCTTCCATCAACTTCCTTTATTAATTTATTTAGGATTCAGGAGAATCCCACCACCAATTGTAATATTTTATCTTGTTTTATTTTTATTTTTAATGTGTTCCTGTTTGCAATTCTGGTCAGTGATGATAATAAAAAATCTCCTCCTCCTCCTCCTCCTCCTCCTCCTCCTTTTGTGAGGATTTATCACTATTTCTGCTTACAAGTATTTTTACTTGGCTTCAAGATGTCTGAAATTAACCCAGTTTAGGAAATAAAAATCTAAGAGACCAGATAAATGGTAGGGCTATGCGGATTGGTGCCCATTCACTTTGTTAAGGCACCCCACTTCAGTAACCTTTGCCTTGAGGCATCAAGGAATTCCAAATTCTTGGCCCTGGCACTGTGCCTTGATTCGTAGGGTTGCTGCACATTGCTGAATATGCTGCACATTCAGGGAAGTTCATTTATTGTTCAGAGAAAAGGAGAAGCAGGGCTACTGCTGTTTGTTGAACCCTCTGAAGGGAAACTTGGAAACTTCATTGAGGGAAAGCAGCCCTAAGCTCTGTACATTGCTAATAGTTGTTAAATAGCTATAAAATAAAATAAAGATAGTTAAAATAGAGGTGATGGATGAGCTTTAGACTGAAGCTACTGTATTTCCTTGCAGACAGCTTGATCACAGATTTGTTTGCAAAGAATACCAGTTTTCATGATTAACCTAGGTCTGCTTTTGCATGAAAGAAGATTCATAAGACAACTGTTCTGGCATTTTAAAAACACACAAGATTGTTATAGACCTGTTTTCTTTTTCATGTTTTCTTTTTTTTAATTTCTGCAGGCACAGTATTTGCTATTTTCTTTTTGGCCATGTATATAATGTCTTGCAGATAGATTGAAGGTTTAAAATAGAAAGCTAGTTCTATTAACTAGCCATAATAACACTATTAAATATTTTTAAACAGGTAAAGCCCAGGAGGTTGAATCTGAATTGATAGAAAGTCACCACGCGGAGATAGCTCAACTGCATAAAAAGATTTTAGAAAAAGACAATGATCTGCAAAGGACCGTGAAAAAGTATGAAGAAATACTTGAGGTATATATTTGTACTGATGTTTCTGTTTTTAAAATCTGAATATAAAGGAAACCGGTTATGTTCCTAATTGAGATTTATACACAACTAGAGATTGGTGCACAAAAGCTGCATGATTGTGATATTAATATCTGAAGTGTATTTAGTATAGTAGGTGAGTAAAAATACATCAATCCCTGCACAGAAATGAAATAGTCACAACCAGCCAGCAACCATAAAATGCAATGTCTCTTTTCTAAACAGTAAAGTTAGAGATTTAAGAGCATAACAACATACCAATCCTGTCACATTGCTTTCTTTTTCTTTTTTCTTTTCTTTTTTGTTATTGTTCTATTCTTCTTTTTGTTTTATATGCAAACAACGTATTTAGAAAGCTTATCTTTTCTATGGAGGCCATTCCGGAATTGGGATATTGGGATAACCTTTTCGAAAAGGCTCTCCTCTTAGCATCTGTCTGTCTCATTCCATTTGGCAAGGGGGCCTAGAGAAAAGCCTCTGAAGATGATCTTAATGTCTAGGCAGGTTTATAGGGGAGGAAATCACTTGGCAATTGAGTCCAAATGATTTAAGGCTTTAAAAGTTAATCCTGGTGTTTTGGTTGGGGCTTGGAAGACAGTGCAGCTCATAAAGCATTTTTGTAATATGATTACAGGATTATATTATTTTGTATTGCCGTCTCTCTCAGATAGCAGTCTTGCTCAGTAGTAGTAGGCCTGTAGCAGAAGTCCTTACCTTTAGTTTTGTCAAGTGAGCTGTGCAGCAAGTGCTTCTTTTTAAAATCCGTCCATAGCATTAAGTGAGAACTACTATTGCTGCAAAATGCTTTGTTTGGGATAACTGTTGCATATTATAGCTGTGAGCTCACTTAGTACTGTATCAGTTATATTGCCAGTTGTACAGAGATACCAGATTATATCCAATGAAGGCTATGGAAAGAGAAATTCCTATCCCCATAGAGAAATTAGTCTTGACTTCTGCAGAGGTAACAAAAGAGCAACTAAATCAGAGTGGAATGGGTACTTCTTTTCTTCCCTTCCCTTCGCCAAGAAATATATTGATTGAGTGTTTTGACCTTATCCAATTCATTAGCATATCCAGGTGTCAGTTCAGCATACTGCATAATCTGGATTTGATGAAAAGGAGATGTCATTCAGATTAGTGACAGCTCACTAAACATTTTCTGAAAACATCTCCTAGATGTTTCACATGAATGTGTTTGATTGGTAGATGTAACTACCCAAAAATAATAATCTTCCAGCTATTACTTTTCTTTTTTTCATCCAACAAGTTAGTAACTACCAAAGTTAGAACTACCAAAATTCAGTAGCTCTAATGTCAGTAATTTGCAGTTACTCCAGCTTGAATTCTATAGTTACAGCATTTCTGGTGTCTTCTTATCCCTTTGTACTACATACACATTGAAATACAACCTGATGTAGTGGATAGTTGGTAGTATAAGATAACGAGGTGAATGCTTGACCCCTTCTGACTGATTAATAATTGATGATAATCAGATCAGAGGAGGTCTGATCAGATGGGTAAAAATATAAAGGTTTGGTCATTGGCAGAAGGAGTTTTTCCATCTAGACTTAAGATGTACCAGCATATCTTTAAGATTGTTGTTGTTTTGAATATTTATCATCCACAGTTCAATCAAGAAAAAATAGTTAAGTGCTAATCTTACAGTAGAGTTTATTATAGAAGCACAGCAATAAACTCTAGGAGTAGCAGTTTTCTAGGTTCATAGAACTAATTGTCTGTGGTTACAAAAATATATAGGATTACTTGAAGGTGTTTTTCATATAATAAATCATTTGCTGGATGAACTCTGCAAGCTGAAGCAGCTCAGAAAATGCCATTGCACAATCGGTCCAGATGACATACAGGACAAAGGAGTAAGATAACTTTTTACCCCTATGATCTTCCCGGCATCTTCAAGATACAGGATAAAGGCCTCATCACAGGGATCTTTGATTTGATGATGGACCCACCAGTCCTTGAATCCAATGCTTTTCTTCCTTCCCCTATCAGCATTAACATTTACATAAGTGAAAGTGGTTTTTACAAATGGTGATGGTGTTTTTGCCACGGTTATCACCTGTTGTAGTATGTTGGATTTCCAGATAAATAGAGTTGGACTGCACCTTGGTTAAGGCACAGCATTGAAATGGAACAAGTTCTTACAATCCCTGTGAAATAAAAATCTGTTCTGAATTACTGTACTCTACCTTGAGTTTCAGTATTTAGCTGAACCTGAGACATACTCAAAGTTTCTGCTTTGCCAGTTACGTTTATGTACAGTATTGCTGTTCCTGTGCAGAACTATAAGAATGCAATATGTACTTATCAGCTTTGTTGAATAGTTGCAACATTATTGCCAGTGTTCAGTAATCTTCCAGAACTACACAAATTATTGGAATCGCTGCTACATTAGATCTACTGGTGCAAAGCTGAGAGAAAATAAAATTTTTCATATAATATTGGAAATGTTTTTGCTTTTAGCCTTATTAATGTGATTTTCCCTGTAACATTACATCAAACCAGTTTATTGAATATAAAATTGATAGTACCATAACCAAGTACTTTTTTTTCCAATAAGCATTAAAGAATATTTCTATTTTGAAAATATAACCACCATTTTTTGTTTTAATACCTAATTATGTATGTTTCAAACCCAAAAGACCTGTAAAATATCTCTTCTGTCTTTATGAAGATGTTATTGTTCTACTATATACTATAATATACAGCATATAGTATATATCGTATAATATACAGTATAGTATATACTACAGGTAGTCCTTGACTTACAACGGCAGTTGGGACCAGAATTTCTATTGCTAAGCAATGTGATCGTAAAGTGCGCCTGCATCGCTTAGCAACGGCAATCCCTGCATTACCGGTTGCCATTGTTAACTGAATCCCACAGTTGTTAGGCAAGACAACTTTCTGCCGACTTTCCACAACCAACGTCAGTGGAGAAGCCTACAGGAAGTTGGAAGTCCCAGGCCCACAGGCAGGTAGTGGCTGCTGCCAGATGGGGGAGGGAGCGATGGAGTGGGCAGGGGTATGGGAGAGAGTTGAGGAGGGTGCGCAAGAAGCACCTTATGGGTCAGGAGGGTGCACAAGGCTGTGTGAGAGGCTCTGTGTGGGTTGGGGAGAGTTGAGATGGGTGCACAAGGGTGTGCAAGAGGCACCACACGGGTCAGGAAGGGTCAAGGAGGGTGCATGGGGGTGCATGAGAGGCGTGCGGGATGGGGAGGGTGTGTGGGGGTGCGGTGTGGGTCAAGGAAGGTGCGCAGGGGTGCGTGAGTGGCAGGTTCAGTGCTGCAGAGAGGGACTGGAGGAGGTTGCGCAGGTGGGGGAGACTTACCCCGGCAATTTGCTATCTTTCCTGCTGGCTTCCCCTTTGACTTTCTGGGGAAGCCAGCATGGAAGGTTGCAAATGGCAAACATGTGGTCGCGGGGCAGTTGGCAACCAGTTGTAAGTGCAATCGGGTTGCCAAGCACCCAGATCATGATCACGTGACCATAGGGGTGCTGGGACAGCCGAAATTCCAAGGACCACTCGTAACCACCATTCAGTCGGTGCTATTGTAACTTCGAATTCAAGCTTCATAGCCAAGACAAATAACTTTCTTATGCCAATATGTATATATGTTTGTGTGTCTCCCTATCTCTTTTTTTACTCCTGCATTTCTTTCATACCTCTTTCATAACTTTCTATTTGCATGGTGGAACTCTTGACATAGTGGCATCTCACTAGAATGAAAAACTTTGTATCCAAAAAGCATTGCATTTTGTGTTCTTTGATTCACTTTAGCCCTTAGTTTTAGTGATATCCAACAATACTTGTAAACTGTGGATGCATAAATGAGATTTCGCTGTTTTGAGACACAAGTCCTTTTTGATTTTTGGAAAGAGTCTCTGAAAAGCCCCAAAGGATCAAGGAAGTGACTGAACATTACAAGCAATGTCTTATGGGGCTACAGTGGGAGGAAACTTTGCCATCTATATACAGTTCAATGCTGGGATTTTTTCCCCTCTTGTACAGTATGTGGTTTTATACTAAAGCCTCTGAAAGAAAAAAGAAAACTGAAGTTGTAAATATTATAGGCAAAATATTCTAACTAAATCTTAAAGAATATCAAAGAAACATGCTAAAGCAGAGTATGCTCTATTTAGATCATTCAGGTTGCCTTCTTGGGAACACATTTCATTGTAATGACATTGTAGTTCAAACCATAGTATGACTAGTATTCATTTTAATAAATGATAAATGAGATTTGATCCAGGTGTAGAATATGGATTCTTTTTTAAATAGTTTGGTAAATGGCTTTTTAAGTGTGTTCATCAATGGTTTTCTAGATTTTGAAATAGTATTTAAACGTTTAGAAATTAAGAGTATAATATACTTCGTTAAAACAATAATAAATCAATAGGACATTTAATACTGAAGCTGATTGGAAGCCAAATTGTATCATACTGAATTGTAACAAAGTATACATAATGGATTTATTAATATTTATTCTGAAGGCTAGAGAAGAAGAAATGACGAGAAAAGTAAATGAATTGGAGGAACAGCTGGGGAGATTACAAGAGGACTACAAACAAAGATTGGCAGATGAAGAAAGTTGGAACAGTGATGAAGTAAGTTGGTAAACACCTATTGGTGTTCTTAATTTTGTATTATGTTTTTATGTCTCCTGAAAACAATGAATTAGTTTTATTGCAACTTCATTCATCACAGTTGGCTTATTATATACTATGTTGGTCTGACAACATATGAGCATTTTAAACAGAAATATCAGGGGTTCTACAAAGAATAAGTGTAGAATAAACATAACAGACTAGGCCTTTTTTTCTTTCAGATACTTCTACACCTCTTTTCATATTTACACAAATCAAACAATATTGACATTGCCTCATTTAGCTGTAGTCATTATACTATTTATTTGTCGTTCCTGTGCAGTGATAGTAAAGCAGGTCAGGAACTTCAGTTCTACTATTCTGAATCTGTGTAAGTTATAGTATTCTTAACTAATTTTTGGCAAAATGGTTTCCTTGTATTGTTTCAGGTATCTTAGGAATAGAACTATCCTTAGATGTCTTGTGTTATATATGCACGAAGTTAAATTGTGCTAGAGTTTGAAGAAGACTAAGTTACTTACATTTAGCTTCCCTTTAAATGAATGGGAACAGTTATGCAAATCTTAAATCCATTTGATTTAATGGGAACTAACTTTAACTGTCTGGATGTTACCAGTGTCTCATTCTTGTTCTTCCAAGTAAAATGAAACAGCTTCATCCATTACAAAATAATTTTAGTTGTGCTAAACAGACAAAAAAGAAGCAATTCCTCCTCCTCCATTATCATAGTATTATGTTTTTTTCTCACACTAAGCTCACTGGGAAAACGGAGAAGTCAGATTTTGCATCCTGACCACTCGCATCATTGCAAAAAAATGTTGCAGTTTTTCAGCAGTAGGTTTTAAACACATGTTTAATATATAAGAGAAAAAAGCTAGCTTCCAGATAGGATATAGAAATATATTTTTAGATTTTAGCAAGAAATGGCGATGAAATAGCAAATCATCATGTGGGAGCATAGTTCATTCATTATCTATATTATAGAATTTGGAACTGGGTATGCAGTGGTACTGGCCATCTGTACAATGAAAGGCCATCAAAGTGTTGGTCTCTTTTATGTGCCTGGTTCATAATTTCACATGAATACTTTCTCAGAAATACAACTTTGCCCAACAGTGTGAGACCATAGTATAGCTAGTGTTGCTTTTCTATATGTTTTGGTAGAAGATATCAAATGTTAATTATAACTGCGGAGGAAATGGCATAAATGTGGGTGCAAGATACTTTTGCAATATTTTCTGTAGTATTGGGCAGAAAGAAGTATTTTACTAAATTTTTGTTTTTTATCTTCCCTAGGTAACAATAGCAGAACTTCAGGTAAGAGTGACTTCATAAATTTTATGTAGCATAATGTCAATTACACATTTTCCTCTGGTGCTTACAGTAGTGATAAAAAACAAGATTAAGGTTTGCTGTACAAATTCTCACATACATATTTTGCTGAAGAGTGTATATGTATTGTATTTCAGGCCCAGCTAGCCCAAAAGACAACACTTGTTAATGATTCGAAGTTGAAAGAACAGGAGTTCAGAGAACAGGTAAGGTACTAGTTTGGGGAGAAAAGGGGGATATTCAGCTTTAGCTCTAAAATGCATACAACTTGGTAGGGATAATTTGAAATTTTGATCAAATGCTACATAATGTTAATGATTTTCTTTTCCCCACCCCTGCCTATTGCCGTCCTGTGCAGGTTTCAAAATCCAGCTAAAATCTATTAAAATCAAGTTCAGGTTACAAACTTTCATGCTTCAAATACAAATTCTGCTTGTGAAAAAAAGAATATTCTAGCATATTGTCTTTTAATTAAATATGTGCAACCGACTATAATTGAAATAATGCTTCCATCTTTGCTAGTACAAATTAGCACAAGTTAATGCATGGTGGCAGGTTTGAAAGCCATGGATAGATTTTTAACATCCACTGTTTTAACATGAAGGAATAGTGTTGTGGCTGTTTTTAATGTTTTCAACATTTAAACTTATTAAAACATATCCCAAAGTTAATCTTGGTTAATGATTATTTTACTTTCTGACTCACTTTATTTTTAGATTCACACACTACAAGATAAGTTGAAAAATTATGAGAAGGCTGTGTATGCCACAACAGTTGAAACACCGTATAGAGGTGAGTAATTGTTTTGGCACTGAACAATAGAATACAAAGCTTAAGGAAACATTTGTAAGCCTAATTTGGACTGCAGTTCTGTGCAGTTATCTGGGAATAAAAGAGATAATAAATGATTGGGGTGTTCGTTGTTAAAATAATAGATGGCTTATGTAGCAGGTAATTAATATACAGATTTTGTGTTTCAGTAGCAGAAAGGCATTTTAACATTTGTAATAATAAGAACACATATATCTTACTGCCCTTTTGGCCAGTAATTTTGCAGTAGGTTTTCTATAGAATCCCCAACATTTGTATATATCAAAAGATACTAGAGTAAAATGTGGTTTTATTTCTTTCTATAGAAATACAAATTTTAAAAATTGCAAAAATATTGCATAGTTATTACATCTTCATAGATTTCTAAGATCTGTAAATATAAGTATAAAAATCTGCTCTCTGTAAGAGCAGAAACTTACTTTCGTAGATGCTTCATATGCAGTTAATGTATGTGTATTCCTTGTTTGAGAAAATACTGGGATCATTACTAATATATAAGGGAATGTTTTCTGCCATTTACATTTCATGTACTTAAATAAAGGAAATTAATATGCATTTTAGTATTGCAGTTGTTGTGGTATTAGTTGTGTGCTGGGCTTTAATTTTAGTATTATGACTTCAGTTTTATCTTTCTTGGAAAATGAATGTAACTTGAACATCCCTGATGTGCAAGTGAGAGCCTATTTATATAAAAGTATCACAGCAGTATCAGAAATAAGATACTTCCTTAACCACTAGGCAACACTTCATACATGTAATTCCCACGGTTTTAGAGATTAAATAAAATTAAAATGAGGCCCTTTTCAAACAATCTCTGTTTAAAAAGCGTGACTAAAGATCTGCCTCAGTGGTAGCATGGCAAAGAATAGATGTGGAAAGCTTAAGTGAGGAGTCTGCCTCCTCTCCTAATTTTATACAGCAAAAGTTGGTGGTTAATTTACAAAGAACAGATAAGTTGCACCCGATTTTGTTTGAAGTTCCCCCAAACTTTTAGGCCAACTATAGGCGCTATATCTGAGGAAGGTGCTTTATTTTAACATTCCTCTGATATTGGAAGTAAGCTATTCTAATGATTGCTTGAAATGTTTGCTAAGTGCAAAGAGTATATACATATAAAGGGTTAGAATTTGCCTGTAATAAGGAAAGTAAAATGACCAGTTTATGCCAAGATTGAAGATATTTATGATTGAGGATGTTTATGATGGATAAAGATAGTAAATTGGAGCCCTCATGGATTAAAAACTATGAATTCAAAATATTTTGTAAAAAGATTACCGAATAGGGTAAGTACAGTATGTAATTTCTTAATAAGCTTGTAGCAGAGATCAGTATAAAGTCCCACTTTTCTTCTATGCAGATGGGAACCTCTGCCATTCGGATGTCTCTCTTTTTGCTGAACCAACTGAGTTTGAATACTTGAGGAAGGTGCTATTCGAATATATGATGGGCCGTGAGACAAAGGTATCCCTTATATTTAGAGCACTTGAATGGTCATGCCAATAGTTCTGAGGAAAGTTGCAGTGTTATGATACCATCACAAGATGAGCCCAAGAAGAACATACTTGGATAAAGGAAGGATGATGGGCAGAATGCACTTTTGAAGAAGCCTTAGTAAGGAGAGTAAGTGGTCTACACAATGGTTTCTTGGAGCTTTTGGCAAAATTATGTATTTGTTTAAGAAAAAAAATCTCCAAGCAGCCTACAACATTATTTAATGTATTAATTACAATTTAAAACACAATAAAAACTATTAAAGTATGTAGTTAAAATACCAGAATCTTAAATCTGGCCCAGTAGCAAATTGGTAGTCATTGCAGTTCTTTCAACAACGTGGCAGTAGATACAATGCAGTGACGTCTGCAATTAACCACCATGATGTCAAAATGATGTGTGGTGACATCATCTCACAAATAACTGCAATTACATACTTATATCACAAATTAAACTATGACATTTGCTTGAGGTAACGAGTATACAAATCAGTGTATTTGCATGATGTCATCAGGCAGGTGTGATTATTCCTCACCCCAGCCTCTCTGCAGACACCCCTGGGTAGATGCTCTAAACCATAGCTTAATTGCTACAGTAGCCGTAACTTTGATCATGCTTAAGGGCAGCCCCATGAAGAACACATTCTAGTAATCAAGGGATGGCTTTATTAGTATCTTTAAAGTAAATCTATCCCCATTTAAGGACCGCTTCAAGGAGGTGTGCCAGTTGAAAATAGGAAAAGGTGTTACTCAGGCTGTAGCAACAGTGAAGCCTGTCATCATCCTTAGGCTTCTGCACATACCTCTCTGAGGGAATACATTTTCATTCAGGATAGGTTAACTACCTGTTTCCTGGACCAGTGAGTATTTTGCCACAGGGGCCCCATATTCATAGAATTCATACCCTGTTGATTGGCTTCAATCTGTCTCTGCACCTAGATGCTGACTAAAACCAGCATGGCCTTTCCTGGTTGATATGGAACAGAAATAATGCTGGGCTTCCTTTCCCAAGACACCATTAGAAGCATAACTTTTTTCCCTTTTTTTTTTTGTGAATATGTAATTTTATAGGTTTTAATTGTATATTTATTTATTGTTTTATCATGTTGTGAGCCGCCCAGAGTCCCCCACTGGGGGGAGATGGGCGGGGGACAAATTTAATAAATAAATAAATGACTTGCTGGGGGGGGGGGGGGGGAAAAAATTAAAAAAAAAAAAATGATTGTTTCCGGGGGGGGGGGGAGGCGTTACAAGGACTGTTGTG